ACACCCGCCGCCGCAGCACTGGCGCCGCAAATAAATGATATATAAATAAAAAATGATTAAAATAAAAACTAAAAAATTGTAAATGGTATTTCACAGTACACAGGTTCATGGCGTGAGAATCAGTTACACCGGAGCCGAGGTGCCTACTTCTTGGTCTTCTTTGGAGCGACGGCAGCGGCGGCAGCACCGCCCTTAGCCTTGCGCTCCGCGGCGCGGGCCGCACGCTCCTTGCGGACACGCTCCTCACGACGAATGCGGTCCTTCTTGCATGGGCCGTACCACTGGCTCTTCTCTTTCTTTGTCTGGAAGCGACCGTGACCAATCTTGGAGCTTGTGTCAATAAACTTCAGTGTGATCTTCTCCGTAAGCTTGCGCGAGGTCTGTGGGGCCATTGAGCGACGCAGCGTGATGACGCGACGGCGAGGACCCGCGACGGAACCCTTCAGCATCACGTAGTCGTTGCGCACTGTACCGTAACCAACAAAGCCACCCATCGGGGTGATGGTCTTGGCTGTGAGGTCGTACGTGGTCGTGGCCTGCTTTGGCTCCATCGACACCGCGCGACCCATCTGGTAGATCTTCTTGTTAAGGTGTGTGCGGTGGTGGTAACCATGCTGACCGGCGCGGGCGACGGTGTACATCACGCGAGCAGGGTGCCATGCGCCAATGCAAGCCACCTTGCGGAGACCACGATGAGTCTTGCGCGGCAGGCAGGCAACACCCCAGCGCTTCACGACACCAGTGAAACCGTGACCCTTCGTCACAGCACATACGTCGCACGCCTCAGATTGCTGGAAGACAGAGTCGATGCGAACTTCCTTCTCAAGAAGCGACTTGGCAAGCTCAATCTTCTCGGCAATGGTGCCACCGTTGATCTGAATCTCGCTCACATGCGCCTTCTTCACACCAACCCGGTTGTTACGGAGCTTGCGCAGCTGGGTATGGGCAACGACGCGGATGGTGTCAGCCTTCTTTGCAAAGGCCTTCAGCGTGCGTGCTTCTTCAAGGCGACCCTCCGTCGTGCGAGCAAACTGCTTGCGCTTCGTGAAGGCCAGCTGTGCAGACTGCTTCCAGTTCTTGTAGAAACGGCGACGGAACTCCACGCTGGTGTGGTGCGCCCACACAGTGCCGATCGTCTTGTGTCCCACAGGCGTCTGGCGGTAGCCGACAATACCCACCACCACCATCGGTGGTGCCTCCAGGATCGTCACTGGCTCCACAACCTCCTTCTTGTTCACCTTGGAACCAGGCCTGTCAACGTCACGCACAATGTGCGTCATACCAGCCTTAAACACCATGAAGCTGGTGAGATGTGGCTTCTGCGAGGGGTCATCCTTGGGGAAGGAGCGGGCACGACCGCGGATCTGCCGGCTGCGCTTCCGTGGCAAAAAGCCAAGATGGCCGTGGCGGGGGTGCTCAAACTTGCAGTGAGACATGAACGCGTATCCGGGGTTACCTAAGATCCCAAATATTTAAAACAAGTAACAAGCAAAACGAAAAGAAACAGAACATGAGACAAAGCACACACACAGCGACACACTAGACACCACATAAGTAGTAAAGGTGGCACAATAGGTTACACCCGCCGCCGCAGCACTGGCGCCGCAAATAAATGATATATAAATAAAAAATGATTAAAATAAAAACTAAAAAATTGTAAATGGTATTTCACAGTACACAGGTTCATGGCGTGAGAATCAGTTACACCGGAGCCGAGGTGCCTACTTCTTGGTCTTCTTTGGAGCGACGGCAGCGGCGGCAGCACCGCCCTTAGCCTTGCGCTCCGCGGCGCGGGCCGCACGCTCCTTGCGGACACGCTCCTCACGACGAATGCGGTCCTTCTTGCATGGGCCGTACCACTGGCTCTTCTCTTTCTTTGTCTGGAAGCGACCGTGACCAATCTTGGAGCTTGTGTCAATAAACTTCAGTGTGATCTTCTCCGTAAGCTTGCGCGAGGTCTGTGGGGCCATTGAGCGACGCAGCGTGATGACGCGACGGCGAGGACCCGCGACGGAACCCTTCAGCATCACGTAGTCGTTGCGCACTGTACCGTAACCAACAAAGCCACCCATCGGGGTGATGGTCTT